GACCCAGAGACCCACTCAGAGATAGCCAGAGAGGTAGAGACCGAGAGACATAGAGACAGATAGAGATCCCGAGACCCAAGAAAGACCCAGAAACCCAGAGACAGTCAGAGAGGTAGAGACAAAGAGACGTAGAGAAAGACAGATAAAGAGACAGAGAGACACAGAGAGACGGGTCTCTGGGTGTATCTCTGGTAGAGACAGACCGCCAGAGATAGATAGATCCAGATAGAGATCCCAAGACCCAGAGACCCACTCAGCCAGAGAGGTAGAGACAGAGAGATGTAGAGAGAGACAAAGAGACAGAGACCCAGAGATAGACCCAGAGAGATGGGTCTATCTCTTGTAGCGATAGACCGCCAGAGATAAAAAGATCCAGAGAGACAGAGATCCCGAAACCCAAGAGAGACCCAGAGACCCACTCACAGATAGCCAGAGAGGTAGAGACATAGAGAGACACAGATAGAGGGACAGAGACTGGAGATAGACCCAGAGACCTATCTCTCTGGGTCTATCGCTGGTAGAGATAGACCGCCAGAAATAGAAAGATCCAGAGATAGAGATTCCGAGACCCAGAGACCCACTCAGAGATAGCCAGAGAGGTAGAGACAAAGAGATATAGAGAGAGACAAAGAGACAGAGACCCAGAGATAGACCGCCAGAGATAGAAAGATCCAGAGATAGAGACCCACTCAGAGATAGCCAGAGAGGTAGAGACAGAGGGATGTAGAGAGAGACAAAGAGACAGAGACCCAGAGAGATGGGTCTATCTCTGGTAGCGATAGACCGCCAGAGATAGAAAGATCCAGAGAGATAGAGACCCAGAGATAGCCAGAGAGGTAGAGACAGAGAGACATAGAGAGACAGGGATCCCGAGACCCAAGAGAGACCCACTCAGATAGCGAGCCAGAGAGGTAGAGCCAGAGAGACGCAGAGAGAGACAGATAAAGAGACAGAGACCCAGAGAGATAGAGATCCTGAGACCCAAGAGACCCAGAGACCCACTCAGAGATAGCCAGAGAGGTAGAGACAGAGACATAGAGAGACAGATAAAGAGACAGAGACCAAGAGATAGAAAGATCGAGAGAGATAGAGATCCTGAGACCCACTCAGAGACAGAGAGCCAGAGAAGTAGAGACAGACAGACGTAGAGAGAGACAGATCCCAGAGAAAGACCCAGAGAGATGGGTCTCTGGGTCTTTCTCTGGTAGCGATAGACTGCCAGAGATAGAAAGATCCAGAGAGATAGAGACCCCGAGTCCCAGGAGAGACCCACTCAGAGATAGAGAGCCAGAGAGGTAGAGACAGAGAGACATAGAGACAGATAAAGAGACAGAGACCGGAGATAGACCCATCTCTCTGGGTCTATCTTGATAGAGATAGACCGCCAGAGGTAGAAAGATCCAGAGAGATAGAGATCCCGAGAACCAGAGACCCACTCAGAGATAGAGAGCCAGAGAGGTAGAGACAGAGAGATGTAGAGAGAGACAGAGACCCAGAGAGATGGGTCTCTGGGTCTATCTCTGCTAGCGATAGACCGCCAGAGAGAGATCCAGAGAGAAAGAAATCCAGAGACCCACTTAGAAATAGAGACAGAGAGACATAGAGAGAGACAGATAAAGAGACAGAGACCCATCTCTCTGGGTCTATCTCTGGTAGCGATATACCGCCAGAGATAGAAAGATCCAGAGAGATTGAGATCCAAGAGAGACCCAGAGACACCCAGAGTGAGAGACCCAGAGAGATGAGATGAAGACCCAGAGATATCCAGAGACAGAGACCCAGAGAGATGGGTCTCTCTGTCTCTGTCTCTCTGAGACCGAGAGAACAGATGGAGAACCAGAGAGATAGAGATCCCGAGACCCAGAGATAGACCCAGATAAAGACCCGAGAGATCCAGAAAGACCCAGAGATAGAGACAGAGATACCTAGAGACCCAGAGAGAGATATATACCGAGAGGTAAAGACCCAGAGAGATGAGTCTCTGTGTCTCTCTACCTCTCTCTGAGACCTAGAGAGAAGAGACGGAGACCCAGAGACACCGAGACCGAGAGATAGAGACCCCAAGACCCAGAGATAGACCCAAAAAACTGAGACCCAGAGAGGTAGAGACAGAGAGATGAGAGAGGTCCAGAGAGAGAGACCCAGAACGACCCAAAGATACAGAGATAGAGACCCAGAGAGATGGCTCTCTGTGTCTCTGTACCTCTGTCTCTCTGAGACATAGAGAACAGAGACCCAGAAAGACCGAGACAGAGATAGAGAGACCTAGAAAGAGACAGAGACCCAGAGAGGTAGAGACAGAGATAGAGACCAAGAGATACCCAGTGAGACCCAGAGTGATAGACCCAGTAAGACCTAGTGATAGAGAGACCCAGAGACCAATCTCTCTAGGTCTATCTCTACCTCTGAGACCTAGATAGAAGAGACGGAGACCCAGAGAAACCGAGACCAATGGAGAAACCCAGAGAGAGAGAGACCAAGAGAGAGACCCAGAGAGGTAGAGAGACAGAGACCCAGAGGTAGACCGAGAGATAGAGACAGAGACCCAGAGAGATAGAGACCAGAAAGATGCAGAGATAGAGACCCAGAGAGGTAGAGACAGAGAGATAGACCCTGAGATCCAGAGAGACCCAGAAAGACCCAGAGATAGACAGAAGTAGAGACCCAGAGGCCGAGAGATAGAGAGACTGAGATAGAAATCCAGAGATAGACTGAGACCCAGAAAGATGGGTCTCGGTGTCTCTGTCTGGGTCTCTCTAAGACCTAGAAATAAGAGACCCAGAGAGCAATGGAGAGACGTGACCCAGAGATGGACAGACCTAGAGACGGAGATATCCAGAGAGCCTGAGAGAAACCTAGAGGCCCAGAGTGATGGAGAGACCCAGAGAGGTAGAGAGACTGAGCGAGAGACCCATAAAGTCCAAGACCCAGAGAGATGAGATAGAGACCCAGAGGTAGAGACTGGGAGATATAGACCCAGAGACCCAAGAGATAGAGATCCAGAGATTGAGACCCAGAGAGGTAGAGACCCTGAGAGATCCAGACACCCAAGAGAGACCCAGAGAGATGAGATAGAGAAACCCAGAGAGATAAGTCTCTGGGTCTCTACCTCTATCTGAGACCTAGAGAGAAGAGACGGAGACCCAGAGACCAACGGAGAAATCCAGAGACCCAGAGATAGATCCAGAGTAGAGACAGAGAGATAGACCCAGAGAGGTACAGAGATAGAGACCGAGCGATAGATGCAGAGACAAAGACCCAGAGATAGAGAGGTAGAGACCCAGAGACAGACCGAGAGACCCAGATAGACTGAGACCCAGAGATAGACCCAGAGAGAGATGGGTCTCTCTACCTCTATCTCTGAGACCTAGAAAGAAGAGACCCAGAGAGACTGAGACCGATGGAGAGACCTAGAGAGCCACTGAGACAGACGGAGAGACCCAGAGACCGTGACCCCAGAGATGGTCTCTGAGTCTGTTTCTCTGGCTCTGTCCAAGATTGAGAGACCCAGAGACAGAGAGCCTGAGAGGCCCAGATCAGAGACCTGTTGAGACCTAGAGAAGGAGAGACCCAGAGTGACAGATTCAGAGGCACAGAGACCCAGAGAGACTGAAACCAAGAGATACAACCAGAGATGAGATAAAGACCCAGAGACAGAGACCCAAAGAGATGAGATAGAGACTGAGAGATGAAGACCCAGAGAGATAGAGAGATAGAGACTGAGAGATAGACCCAGAGAGGCCCAGAATGGAGAGACCCAGTGAGTGACAGATTCAAAGAGGCACAGAGACCCAGAGAAACAGAGAGACCCAAAGACAGACAGACCCAGAGAGAGACAGAGAGATGGAGAAACCCAAAGAGACTGAGAGACCCCAGAGCAAGTCACATGGAGAGGCCCAGCGACTATGACACCCAGAGACAGAGTTTTAGTGAGACCCAGAGAAATTGAGAGATAAGAGACAGATCCAGAAACCGAGAGACCCAAAGAGACTGAGACCAAGAGATCCAGACACAGATCCAGAGAGATAGACTGATCCAGAGAGATTGAGACGCAGAGACCCAGAGAGAGATACAGACCACGAGAACCTGGAGGGGCCCTGAGATGGAGAAACCCAGAGACTCAGAGAGACAGAGAGTCCCAGAGATGGAGAGACAAGAGGCCCAAAGTGAGATGTAGAGACCCTGCGAGAGACTGACCAAGAGAGACCCAGAGAGATGGAGACCCAGAGACAGACTCCGAGAGACACAATCAGAGAACCCAGAGTGTCCCTCCGAGAGACACTCAGAGTCCAAAACAGAGAGACCCAGAAGACACATCTAGAGTGAGACCGGGACACATCTAGAGTGAGAAAGATCCAGAGTGAGACGGAGACACCCAGACCCAGATACACTTAGACAGAGACACCCACAGACTGAGAAATGGAGAGACCCAGAGAGCAACAGACCCAGAGGTGTCCAGAGATGGAGAAACCCAAAGAGAGCCAGTTAGAGACGGAGAGAGACATAGACCCAGAGAGAGACAAGACAGACAGAGAGACAGATGGAGAGACCCAGAGATGGAGAAACCCAGAGACACCTAGAGTGAGACCCATAGAGACAGAGATCCAGAAAGAGACAGAGACAGTAAGGCAGAAACTGAGAGACCTAGAGAATGAGACCAAGAGAGAGGAAGAGATACAGAGAGATACAGAGAGATGCAGAGGGAGAGGCCCAGAGAAAGAGCGATCAAGCAGAAAGGACACTGAAAAGCTTTAACTCCTTTCCTGGGCCCAGGGGAGTCTTGCGTGGAACTTACCTATTGTATAGCAATTCGAACAAGAATGAATTCTGCTTTTTTTTTTTTTTAAATTCTGCTTATTTTTTTCCAGCAAAGTAGAGTGAAGAAAATGGTTTTGCTTATTGTTGTTCCTGTGCAGGAAGCTTAAAGATTAGACAAATCAGTAATTATAATTCAGTGTATATTTTAAAAACCAGAAAAAAGTGAATTCGTGTTTTCTCAGGTGGTTTATGAAGTATCAGCACGTAGACCCAGAAGAAGCTGTAAAGATTCACACTGATCTTCAAACCAAGAAGTCTGTGGCAATTCACTGGGGAACTTTTGCCTTAGCAAATGAGGTGAGCTTGATCATGATAAAAATAACCAGTTATGTGTTGACCTATGATAGGATTCAAGGGCTATATACCCTTAGAGTTTTTAGATACCAAACTGGAATCAGAACCTGCCCAGCCATCACAGTCACCAGATGAACTAAGGTGATAAATCATGTCAGTTAGTAAAACAGCATTTATATGCAGTGGAAGAAAACCCCTCATTGCCTGCCTATTCTTCTGGCTTCACAGTTCACAAAGCATGTATTTAAAGAACCAAAAATCTATAGTCTTAGGAAACAGAAAAATGAGTTATCGCTTCCCTTAAGTATTGAAAGGCGTAAACTCAATAACCTGGAATAAAGTGGTCTGAAACAGGAATGGCTGGAGGAATCAGGGACAGCTTCATGTAAGAGGTGACATTTGAACATAGCTGGGAGAAAGCAAGGAGAATGGCAAGCATGGGAATGGTTAGCTGAGCTGGAGCACTGGTGAGGCTGAGCATGAGGGGAAATACGGCAGACTGCCTAGAACTTCTGGGGACAATAAATTGTTTAATTAGTAATCTTTGACTCAGTGTTAGCTATGTGTGAGGCAGTGGATAAATTGGTGGTTTTATTCCTAGATTATCCCAGAGAAGCTGGTTTTTCCTGAAGTCAGCTGAACCCCAAACTGCTACTTGTCAGGGTTTTGGCATCAAGCAGGAGCATAGCAAAAAGCTTTCTCTCTTCCTGGGTTCAGGGCCTGCCTTAAGCGAAATCTGGAGAAGGGATAGTTAAACTGGCTTCTCCCAGCTTGCTTTGTGGGATGTATCCCAGCATGCCTCAGTAGCTACCCTGTGTTTTCATACCATTTTAAGTTCTCTCCGTTCTTTTCTAGCCTTCTTCTCCCTAAGTTGTATCTTGTTCCAAAATTACCTGATACACTTCTGCGTGCACTACCTGTCTTTCCGGGGAGATGAAAGACCTTGAGGATGAATGAGAATGTGGGTGCTTGTGCATTTTGGAGAAGGGGAGTTTGTTACTGGTTTCTAGTGGCAGGTCACTATTTGGTAATTTTTTATGCCATTATGTGTGTGTTCTGTTTTGAAAGATCTATAGCTACTTGAATAAAGTGATATGAAGCAAATGGAGAAACAGTTGTGCTCTCTGAGGAAAGATGGGGATGGAAAACCTCATTTGAAACTTATTTAGCCTTCAAGAATTATTCTTGTTAAAAAGCTGACCTCCATTTTATTTAATGAATATTTGAATAAAATGATGTATTCATAGCAATTTGGAATTAAGTTGACAACTGATTTTGTTATAAACTAGATGGAATTTGTCAGGGGGCATGTTTAGCACACAGTTTGCAAATACCTTAAAAGTATTTGCATAGAATTGATTATAATAGCTGTTTACTGTACTACAAATAGCTTAGGGGTGATGTATTTAAGCACTGAAACCTAATTCACTAGTTTTTGTGGAAGTGAGTTTCAGGCTATGCATGTTAACTTTTTAGATGCCAAGGTCTTTAATTTGAGTATCTTCTAATGTACTAAGTCAAATAACCCCCTTAAAAGGGAATACGATTGTCTGGCCCTCCATGGGTGCAGCGAGCTGGACCATCCACTTTGGACACTTACGTGTAATCTGCTGTCTTGCTTTCCCCTTACGTGTGGCCCTGTGGCTGCAGCGCACTGCGTGGCACTGGTGAGCACCAGCTCTCGGCCGCCACTCAGAAGTGCTCTTACCTAAGCTAGATGTTGTAACAGCCAAGAACTGACCTGTGGAGAAACTCCAAGATGCTGCAACATCAAAATCCAGAGTTATAGCTTACAGCTAACATTGGCTTAGCAAAGAGGTAGGCAGAGGGTAGTTGTGTAAGAATTTAACAAAACTATTTTCCTGGGGGCAAGGATTACATCTTTTTAAAATTTCTTATGCCATTTAAAACTGCATTTTACTTGTAAAAGCAATCCAATATGCATAAAAATGACTAAAAAGAGATTTTGGATATCAGCTAGTTCATTACTAAGTTGTTATTTCTACAAAGACTCAGTCTAAGTCTACTTATATTTTAGTACTCTATTTCTGTAATTCTTTCCTCAGCAAGAATAGGCCTATGCATACCTTGGCGCTTTTCAGTCCTTTTATTGCGTTCCTCATACCCATTGTTTCTACTGACGTTTTCTAAAGAACTTAAATTTTTCTGAAGAATTCCTTTTGTTCCTGGATAATTCAGTTCAATTATCTATCTCCAAGTCATCTTGGCTGTGTCTTCACTTACATGCTCTTTCCCCTACACCGAGAATGTAGTTTTAGTTTTGGGATCCTCCTTTTTTAAGAAGATGGGAGGGGAGAGAGTATATGTGGAAGTGGGAGCCCAGATGCCTCAAGTGTTCCCAGGTTGGGGTGCGGGTAGAGGGCACTTAGGGCTCAGGCTCCACATGCAGAGGCTGCTTCCCAGTTCACTGTCAGGGGACTACGATTTGCAGCCTCAGGAGAAAGGAGCGGGAGATTGGTGCCTTACCAGTGCTCTGGGGTCATTTGTTCCAGGGCTCAGTTAGGGATACACATTATGGTGGCAGTTCAGAGTCAGGCTCTGTGGAGTAGAATCCGTGCCTTCCCCAAGTCTGTTCAAGAATAACCACAGCCACACCCAATGTTCCCCTCTCTCTGCTCCCAAACTTAGCAAGTGATAGAGCACCCACCTCAGAGGGAGAGAGAAATGGGTCAGGCTGGAGATGCTGAGGTAAGTGAATGGGTTCTGTTTACTGGTTGAGTTGGACTGAAAGTTTGCCAGTAGAAAAACTATTATGTCACATATTGGCTCTGTCCACCAACCCCCCCCCCCCCGTCTCCAAATCTGTGCATATAAAGCCACAAAAACTTTTCTAGTTTTCTTATTACATGACTGGCTATCCCTTCTTAGTCTGTGCTGCTACTTTAGAAGAGCAGGAGATTAACATTTTTGCCTTACTCCAGGCTTGTTTCTCTAATTGATTTCTCTCTTGAAGATAGCTATAAGCCACATACCAAAACCAGATTTCCCAATCTTCCCTCAAACTTGTTTTTGTTACATCAGCCACAATCTTGACTTGTCTTCTCTTTCCCATTCAGATATTCCACACCTGCATGCAGCTCAGCTCAGACTTTGACAACCACTCATCATTCCCTCCTGCCACTCCGCCCCTTCCAGTCTGTCCTCAACCCTGCAGCAGGCACTCTCGCCACTTTGCCAGAATGGCCTGACAGTTCCCCTCACTCAGTCAGCTCTGCTTACCCGCTGTGCAGTCTGCTCTAGCAGGTCTTTGTTCTGCGGTCACCTTAGAAGGACTATCATGTTTAAAGTTACATCTCCACCCCACTTTCAGCCCTGACACTGTTTGCTTACCTTTCTCTGTAATGGAACGTAAGCTCCAGGTAGGCAAGGGTTTTTGTTGGGTTCACTGGCCTGGCTATGCGGGAGGCTCTTGAATGACATTGCATGAAGGGCACAAGCAGCTGGTGACTAGAGCAGGCTGACTGATTTTTTTAAAATCCTGCTTTATACTTCCACATTTTAAAGCTTTTCTAATTGAAATTGAGGGGGGAAAACCCTTTAAAAAAGAAAAAAGATGGCATTATATACTGTAAAAATGTAGACCAGTACAAAAATAACCAGTGAAATAATTTTCTTCTATATTTTTAAATTTCTTTATTCATAACGTTTTAGTACTTAGAATAACACATTCAGGTGGTCTCAATTTATTTGGAAAACATTTGAGTAGGTGAAAACAACCTAAAACAGTATGCCTTGTTCCCTCCCCATTTTCAGAGTTTAAAAAAAGGTACATAAAGCACAACCCCTCCCTGCACCTTTCATTCTGTACACTGTAGTACCTCTGTCTAGGGAAGGAGGATAAGAACCCCTTTTTAGCCTAAAGTTTTTCTAGCATTTGCTTACGTATACTCTCTCATACTTATCTAAATTTCTGGCCTTCAAGAAGGTTAACTTTTATTTAGCTTGCCATTTCATGTTGCGAGTGATCAGATTTCATGCAATATAATGTTCAATTTAAACTGGCAATGAAATTGACATACATGTTTTTGAATGGATAAGATATTTCTATTTATGACTAAAGTTGTACTAGAAAATGTGATTTGCTAATTCGTCAATGAAAGGGCATTGTTTTAAGTAGAAAGATGTTATTTTAGTTGAACTCTTAAACACCCTGTGAAGAAAAGCATGCTTACATTGCACACATTCTTTTCTCTTTCCACCCCCCCCCCCCCCCAGCATTACTTGGAACCTCCAGGGAAACTGACTGAAGCTTTAGAGAAAGCTGGGCTTAAGACTGAAGACTTTTTTGTTTTAAAGCATGGAGAATCAAGATACCTAAATACTGATGAAGCCTTTGAATAATAATGAGTAGCTTTTAATGGAAAAAAGCATTGCCTGATACAAATCTTTACATTTGGAAACAACTTCTGCAAGTTTGTATTTTTACGTTTTGTGTAATAATGTGCTTACCTGATTGCCAGCTCAAAAAAAAAAAAAAATTCAGGTATGGGTCATTTAAATCAGTTGGCTAATAGGGATTTTGAATCTTCTCAGTGGTATAAAATTGCAATGGAATTTTTTTTAAACAAATGCATCATTCTGAGGTCATGTAGGACTGACCTTAAAGACTCATTTCTTTACTTTAAGGGCCTTCTACAATGTGACTCAAGGCTGTCAGCCTATCTAGATTTCTTCATAGGCCTGCACATATAAGCGTAGTTCTTACACATTAAGTGATAAAGTTTATTCTCATGCTGAGAGTAGTTCTTACTCTATTAAGATTAGCTTATATGCCAAATGTTAAGCAATTTTTTTTTAGCATAAAAACATAGGAATAGTTTGGGCTAAGTTAACCTTTTAAGAAATTTTTTTGAAATGAGGAAGCAGTATACTTTCTGTTGCAGAAATGGCCAAATCAAAGGGCCTGTGAGTGGGCAAAGAATGTTTGTATGCAAACATGACTTAGGAAATTTCTATTTATAATCCAAGAAATCAAATCTACTAAGTACAAAAACAGCTGCAAGAGAAGACTTTTCAAAGATAAATGCAGATCTTAGTGCTAAAAGACATATACTTTGAATTATTCTCTTCATTTTGTTTTAATACACTCATTTCAGTGAGATTTATAATATTATACCAGTGTAGAATAATGGCAAAGATGGTGAATCTGAGAATCAGCTGACTGGAGTTTTAAGTTCTACAAGGGCTTTCCTACATGAGAGCTGTGGGAGAGGCCCATTCACTCTTCCTGCTCCATCAAAATAGGCAGATTTTCTATCTAATTGCTACCCTGACAGTGCTCCATGATTTAACATGCCATGTTAGCCACTAATCTGCATCTGAAATAGATTACCTGTACCTTACGTATGCTCACTGTGCCTCCGTTTCCTCATGAGCAACAAGAGGATAATTCTGACCTACCTCCAAAAATGTGATTGTGATGACTAAAGAAAAAATAATTGAAAGTGTGAGGAGAAACATTTCAAGTAGGCTGCCTAAGAGGCAGCATTGAAAGCTGAAAATAGGCGAAATGCTTTTGATAATGTGTAGCAGATTTAAGTATAAGGATATGAAACAGTGAGGACAATTTTTATCTGTTTCATAAATTTGGAAAGCAGTAGTCAAAATAAACGTGAAATAAAAATTTTTATAAAGATCAATTTTATTTACATCTAAAAAGATGCAAATCAGTCAAGGGAAAATGTATGACTAAATGCACAAAAAATTCTGAATAAGCATAAATTTTTTCACTCCAAAGAAACATTTAGCTAGACTGTCTAATCAGAATGTTATATAGTGTGGGGTGTGTTGCTCTGATTCTGGCCAAAGTTTTTGTCACTTCCTTGCTGTTGCACACTGCATTGAAATGTCCTCTTTCTTACCTGTGCTTTACTAAAAAGTAAGCCAGATATCTTGTTTTTCTTTTCCATGAATAGCCTTAACATTTTTGTATTCACATGTACTGTTTAGCCAAAAGTCTCCAAGCACTTTAAATTATGTTCTAGCTCCACTCAATTAGGCCTGTCTGACCAGGAGAAATCCTATCTAATGAAAGCTAAGCAATGGCATGACCTATATATACTGACACTGATAAAGATCAGTGTGACTTTTCACTGTATTTCTCTCAGTAGTTAAAAATTACTCCTTTCACTACATTCTGACATTTCATCTCATATCCAGGAAATGAGATTATCTATTCAAACTAACAGTTTTAGAATTTAATACTGCTGAAAAAGCACTAAGAAACCAAATCATGGTTTTGAATGTGTATATTTTGAACACATTTTCATTAAAGAGGCAAATTTAAGGAAAAGAAAAACTTGTAAAGAAATGTGCCTTTCAGGGAATTAATACTTATGTGTCCATTATGAATTAAAAGTATTATTCTTAATCACTGCATGTATATTACTAGTGTGGTCATTTGAATTGCCATATTCGCCATGCACTGAATTTTTTTTCTATTGTAAATCTTCCAAGTATCACTTCTGTATCAGGATAACCTGAGAATATCCATTTCTCTTAGATATTTTCTGACTTCCTATGGAAACCATGTATGTATAAATGAAATTTAAAGCTTCTGTTTGCATACCTATTTAAAATTAAGCATGGTGATGATATGAACTTGACAGTCATAAAGACCTTGCTGGAATATCAGTATTGTCTTAGTAGTTTTTGTGGAGTAAGATACTAGTTTTAAAAAATGGCTGAGAGATTTTCATATTTTGTGACTGATAAAAGTACTATATCAATTTAGAGGAAAAAAGTACTGTATCAATTTAGAGGAAAAAACTTAATTTGTGATTTCCCCTCTAATTATAAAAATTTAAACTGTAAAATAAGGTGTATATAGAAGTGATTCTAGAAATTCATCATATGGGCATAAATATTTATTTAAAAAGCCACAAAAGGGGCTGTTATGTTTGTTTTTTTTTTAAAAAAAAAAAAAAAAACAACCCTAAATTTCATAGAATTTTTAGCACATTTAGACCTGTTGCTCTTTTTAAGGACTAGACTACTGCTTTGACCCATTACTTTCATGTACAGCATCTTTACATATTGATACACTGAATGGCAGTAAGTACTAAGAAACATTTCTCCTTAAAGTTTACAGTTTTCATTAATTAGAACAGGCTGGGAAGCAGTGTATCTGGGCTTGAGATGGACAAGAGCACTCACAATCTCATCACTACTAGAGACAAGGTCATCCAGGCAGTTCTGAAACAACTCATTACATAACCAATCCTGCCTCCGAGGAGAAACTGCAAGTCACCTGACACAGTAGAAGGGTCACTTCATGTAAATAACTGAAGAATCTCAACAAAGATGGTCACAGAACAAACTTTATATTCACTTGCTATCAATAAAACTGTACAGAATGCACCAGAAAACCATGGCAAGCTTAACTGTACTAAGGAAGATGAAAAATAAACTTACGTGAATTGCTTCCACACTGCATTATTTGGAAAAATATTATCAACCAATTACAATTTTTGTATTAGTGTTACCTTTTCCTTCACGTCCGCATCATGGTGAAAAACTAAAGCTCTCATTCTCTGAGCACATTCTTCTCCATATAACAGGAAAAATAGTGAATCTTTAGTGAAATTAGGCTGAAGAGCTAAATAACCTTCCTTTTTGAGGCAGTTATTTATATTCTGAAATAGCATAAGAGCTCTGAGAAGAATCTCCTTGGCTACATGGCCATCATAAAGGGAAAGGAATGATGAGTCCACCTGAAAGAAGAAGTAATGAGTGTTACTGTAATAATATTTGAAAACATTGTTCATGTATACTTTCCCATTTTAAAATGATACTGAACATATATTTTAAGTTTTAGCTGATAAAAGTTAATTCACTGGAACCCTAAAATTAAAAACCGTTCATTCCCTTTTGAAGCTCATGTCTTCACAGGGCCCCTTATTCCCCCAAATTGCCACTGTACCCTTGCACTGCAGACACAGGGCCAAGCAGATGAACACCTCAGGCCCTCTTCTACAATAGCAGAGGTCTGTTCTATCTCAGCAGCACTTTGGCTTCCTTCAGAACACCTATCACAACTTTTTTTTTTTAATTTATTTATTCATACAGAACTGGGGTACAGGACAGAGATGCGGAGGGTGAGAGGATTCACCAGGGACAGAGTGGGGAGCAGAACAGGCAGATGGACGAAGTACACTGCTGAGGGGAGCAGCGGACGGGCCAGGAGAGGTCTGCCTCACCATGTGGTCACCTCTGGGGCAGGCGGGGATCGAACTCATGCGGAAGTGGCTTAAGCTTCTTAGTGCTGTGCTTTAACCCGCTGCGCCACCAGAGAGGGCCCCGATCATAGCTTTTATTAAATTTATTTTTTGCCTATTTTTGTTTTCTCCATAATGACAAGCCCTATATCACTCTGTACTCACTGGCAGTTTTGGCATTTCAGCCCAGCATCTGGCATACCGTGTTCCAGTGGCTAGTAAGATATATGTGAACACAAAACCATTCAAGTAAAAACAGGATGACCTAAGTACTCCAAACAGGGTAGAGAGAGCAAGATAGTAATTTACTGGTGCTAGGGAGAATTCTTCATAACAATTTTTTTCAGTGAAATACACTCAATACAGAAAATTTAGGAATTCATGTATGCAGAAAGGCCCATGCATACCACTTTCACTACTGCTCCTCAGAGATAATCCCAGTGAACATTTTGAAATAAATCCAGATTTCTGTCCAACTATATATTTGTGTATTTACGAAAACAAAACAAACATAAGAACCCATGTACGCTATTTACTTGGGCACCAAGTAGTCCTTCTGTCATGGCTGGGTTTTCAGACATATTCAAAAGCAGTTTCAAAACTTGAACCTGAAATAAGAAGATTGGTTTATTTTCAAACAACAAGCATAAATGTTCCCTCCTTGCCATGCTATTCTCTTACCATATTAATATCCTGCCTATACAGCTGTGGTTCAAATTCTATGAAGCCTTCTCAATTTACCAACTTAAAAGGGCTCTCTGAATTCCTGACACGGGCACCTCAGTACTCACCACCCACAGCAACGAGGTTCATGGGAGCACACGGTGCCTGGCTCCACACCTGTTGTGCACACACACACACCTAGTACGTGCTAAACTTAACACACATTAGGGTTAATAAAGACTTTTACTATGACTCCTGCCAAGTGAAATATCTGGAACTTATGTAAACTTTGAGATAGTTTAGTTACCAATACTAAGTAAGTGACAATACAGCCCATTTTTGGAAGTTACTATGAATCTGTAAGCTTACCTCTTATGTGAAAAAATGCTTTACAAGCATATCAATAGGTAGTGATACAATCACCCAACATTAACTTAGAACTGACTAACATTAACATTCATATCACTTCTAACTAGAAATAGAGTAATACATTCAAATTGAATGTTTCCTTTAAAAATAAAGTCATGTAAAATTACACTTTCTCCAAGAAGTTCGAAACTACAAGAAAGCGAGGAACAACCAGGGGTAATGAAGTCAGGAAAAGTAATAATATATTCTCCATTAGACATGGGAAGGATGTTTATCTTATAAAAATTCAAAGGTTTACGATAGAATATTTTCTAACTATATAAAATCACAAGAAATGCCTAGAAATGATTACTATAAAGGTCTAGTATTTGTGATCTTGAGGTCTCTATCCTACATATCTGCAATAGCCCATTGCATCGTACATACTAATTTGTTAATTAGGAAAAGGATATCAAGGTTTGCTTGATTTTATCATTTTGATCATGATACACTTCAGCAGTGCAGAAGGTAAAAAGGAAACCCACCATCCTTTGGGCCAAATCCATTCCCTGGATGACACCAATACTGCCAGTCTTGTGTATGTGCAGACCACATGTTTTTCAGACAGCCTTTTAAAACTGCGGCCTCTTAAGGCCACAGTCAAGACTACTGCTGACCTGCCTGTCGAGTGCGCCCTCTGGAGGTCTGTCTGGCTATCAGCAACATTGAGAGTGTTGGGAATAAACATTTGTTTCCAACACCAGTAGAGCTTTGACTAGGAATAGTGGACAAGAAATATGAAATGGGATGGCCCTGGGCCTATAAAATAAGCCTGGAAGCAAATCTTGAAAGACTTCACTAGAAGTCAGTAAGGGCAAGTTTACAACCAGGGAATGGTAACAGCAGGACTTAACTAGGCTCCTCACTGAAATTCCATGGTGATACGGTCTGTAGAAGGGAATTAAACCCAAGGGAAAACACATAAATTAAGACTGCAATTGCAGATTAAACCCCAACGTATTTGGCTTGAAACCATGCTAAGTCCTGTTTTTCTTTGTCATATGTGCCATCTTGTGGTCACACCTGGCAGCTCTCTTAACACCCTTAGTTTGCTTTGCTCCTACTGCAGATGTTAGAAAAGTTTGTTCACATTAATCTTACACTATTTGTACTTAGTTATGCATTAGTGTTGTACCCAAAAGGTTATTATAGTACAATGAAATCACCTATTAGTCACTTTAATGCTTATTTACTGAAAGGGATACATTTTCCCCACTTATAAATAGACTGTAATCCAAAAGTTCATTTGCAAGTTGGAACTATAAACTCATTTTTACGCTGAAATGTTATTCACAGTGTTATAGTTGGTGGTTAGGTTAGGCTTCCAGATGGACCAAGAAAAGCAAATTTTTGGCATCCCCAAAATACCATACTAGATAATGCAATGGAAAAACAAAACAAAAATAGAACATACTATTGTGGTATGAGTCACTTCTTAAAAAGTCTTAAGATACATTACAAATTAGACCATGTCTGGGACAGAATTAATAGACCTGTGTGGCTCCAAACGCAATGTTCCTCCTGAGGTTTGGGCAAGGCAGTTGCAGAGAAAAATTATTCCTGTACCTGCAAATCCAAGGGCTGAGGGAAAGGGAATTTCCATGCAACCTCTGGCGAGGTTAACTTGCTCCACTGGAGAGAAAGAGTTGATGGGTATACACATTTTGGAAATTGCCTTGGATGAAGCAATAGTTCCAATACTGATACTATGATATTGCATTTAACTCTGAATGCTTTTTGGAACATGTTGGACCAGATTCACAGAAGTCTGGGTACCAGAATGTGAAATGTTCTTATAATGGTATCTCAGAACAAATTTTTAAGGGAGGACAACAGTGAGCTTTCTGTATTTCTGGTAACTCCAGAAATAACTTGTGATAACAAGTATTTGAAATATGGCTTCACAATTGGTTTTTCTAAAATACATGTGGATTTTTCTCTCAACTTTGCCAGAGAACATGGACCAATATAAAACCTTGGTAATTAATCACTTCAAATAACCCTTACTTATCGATCAGTGTATAGCCTGCTTTTATGCTATTTCTTAGAAAATGGAACTAACATGAGGGGTTTAACTCAAGTAACTGTCAAAGGCTAGTCTCCTGATATTCTGTTTAATTCAGCTCAATCTGTCACCTGCTATATCTCAAGACTGGTTGAAGAAAAGCAGAGCCATTCATTACCAAACTTAAAAAGTCATTTTAGAAAGATTTTCAACAAATAATGGCTAACTAAGTAGGCAAAAAATATCCATAACCAGCATTCACTCAGATTCCTCCCTATCACATTGTTTATATCTGGTTTGCAAAGTTAGCTCTTCCCACTGTAAACTGATTTTCTGAAAACCAACTGAATATCAACCTACTGATAAATGAAATAGCATGACTTTTACAAGTCTGTACATTCAATATTAGGCTTCCAGATGGCCCATAAAAATAATTTACTATCCTTAGCCCCATGGAAAGGCTTTTGAATAAACCTGGCTGAAGTCTCTTTTTTGAGGACATCCACTTAGGCAAGGTGACTTGTAAATTCAATTCCCACCGAAGAAGCTGCACACACTTCCCTCTGGACCGCATCACGCCACCCTGTACCTTGGTGCTGCCGTTTCCAGCGAGCAGCACACGGAAGAGGCCTGTGAGGGAGCCACTGAGCAAGTGCTGGTGGTCGTTGGTGACAGTCATGTTTGTCAGCAACCTCAGGCCGGCCAGCTGCACGGCGGAGTCCAGGGGACCGGAGAGGACGTCCTCGCAGACCTGACTGACGTACACCTGTTGGGGGAGCGTGGGGGGAGCAGCTTAATGTCTCCAGAGTCAGTGCCAGACAGTCACCGAGCTGCGCTGTGGAGCAGGGCGAAGCTCAGGGAGACACAGGCTGCTCAGGAAAAATGTTATGTCGATGCAGTCCTCACCTTACAGTGGCTTTTTTTTTTTTTTATTCACTATGCTGCAATTTCTATTTCTCACAGGATTTCTCTTTCTGTTTTTTAATTGCCTCGTCAGTGCAGGCCACACACTGGCATGCCACCAGTCCCGATTCACCCACTGAGGCAGGTGTAGTTATGGCTCTTCTACAGACAAGTCATCTATTACTTTTATTTTTTCAAGGTTACAGGTTTCTCCGGGACTGTAAAAGAAACCACCTTTTCTTTTAGGATCATTTTAATGGCATGTATAGATCTGTGGGTAAGAAAAAATGAAGACACCAAGTTCTGGTTATCCTGCAGGAACATCATAGTGAAACCTGTGCTGACCTTTTTTTAGTCCCCTGCTGTCCTCCCTGCTGTCCGCCTCCCTCTGCCCTCTCAACTTCAGAGCCCTCACAGTGCTCATGAATGTCCATGAGTTTTTTACAGTATTTTATCAGATCCATTTTCCTGAAAATACATTTCACCCCTACATATGGCTGAGGAGTACTCAATAGTGTGGCTAAACCACAAGTTCTTGGTGCAACAGTCTGCTGGTGGATGATCCAGGCTGCTGTCCCACTAGTGCAAATCATGCTCATAAACACTGTAACACACAGCTTTTGTGCTGGTGTTTTCATATTCTTTGGATAGATGGGCAAGAGTACCTAGTTTGGTGGTCTGCTATCTCCATTTTTAGGGTTTTTTTAAGATTTATTTATGCATACAGAACTGGGGTACAGGCCAGAGGTGCAAGAGCGGTGAGAGGATTCACCAGGGACAAAGCGGGGAACAGAACAGGCAGATCGACGAAGTATACTGCTGAGGGGAGCAGCGGACGGGTCAGGAGAGGTCTGCCGCGCCATGTGGGTCAGCTCCGGGGTGGGGGTTGAACTCGCACTGAAGCAGCTACAGCCAGCTTGCAGTGCTGCAATCCCAACCCTTTGCACCACCAGGGAGGGCCCCACTGTTAGGTCTTTAAGGAAAATTCAGATTGCTTCCATAAGGGCTGTCCCATCTATATTCCCACCAACAGCACACAGGCCCCCGTTGTCTGACTCCATCCCTACCCCCTCACACTTGCTGGAGACTTTTTAACTGTGCCATCTGTGTGCACGTGAGAGACGGTATCTCGTGGCTTTGCCAGGAGGACCCTGGGTTTGTTTTTGAATTTCCTTTCAATTCCAAGCCAAGTCCTTTCCTTGGCCAGTCTCAATTTTTTGAGATTTCTGACAAGTTAGTAGAACTGGGCTAAAATTCCTCTCCTGGACTTAGAAAGTGTCATAGGTATTTTACAGGCACTAAGAAATCAATAGCTGGGCCCTCCCTGGTGGTGCAGCAGATTAAAGCACAGCACTAAGAAGCTAAAGCTACTTCAGTGTGAGTTTGATCCCTGCCCTGGAGGTGACCCACATGGCATGGCAGACCTCTCCTGACCCGTCCACTGCTCCCCTCAGCAGTGTGCTTCATAAATCTGCCAGTTCTGCTCCCCACTCTGTCTCTGGTGAATCCTCTCACCACCCCTGCACCTCTGGCCTGCACCCCAGTTCTGTATGCATAAATAAATAAAACTGTTTAAAAAAAATGGCACTTCTGCTCTGTAAATCACGTATCTTTGGAAGGTGCTTGTGTCTTTCACAACATTTACTAAAGTGTGTTGAATATTTAGTCTTATTAGCTCTGAATCCTTTCTGTCACTGCAGTTCTAGAACAAGATTATCAATAGGTCAGCTCAGTTATTCCTGTAGCTTTGCCCTTTAGCTTTTCCCCTTCTCTTGGAATTTCCTCCTTCCTCAGTTCAATCATTAAGAAACCTTATATATATATATATA